CATTTAGATAATCAACAACTTTATAATAGCCCTTATTCATAAGAGTATTTTTGATCTGAGATTTAAATTTAGTTAGTGGAAGCTCAATCAGATCTTGGGGAACTTTGTTAAACAATGCAATACTACAACCCAGAAATGAACCTCTTGATTTTTGGAGTCTGAAACATGAGTATTGAGAAAGTTTTATGACTGGCTATTATTATATAAAGAGTTCGCCAATGAGTATTGCTAAGAAAGCCTAATGAAGCTGCTTGTTGACCAAGAGTTCCTTAGTCATAATCATAATCAAAATCATTTATTCAGATTAGGCTGTTACAAGCACTCATGAATGTCTAGAAGCTACGCCATCGGTTCGTAAATCTACGGCGGAAGACCTTATACTGAGAAGAACCGGCAAGAAACTCAGCAAGGGCTGTTTTTTTCTCCCTGTTTTATTATTTACAGAGTCGTCAAAAATGACAGTTACTTGAAGTAAATGGACTTAATTATCTTATTAACTTAACTTGTAGTTGGCATATTAAAACACAATTTATTATAAATTTTAAGTTTGACATATAAATATTGTTTATCAATTTTTACAAAAAACATATTGTGACATTATTCCTGTGATTCGTTGTATTGTAATAAAATCTTCTTATGTATAAAATTCTCGTATCACAATGTTAGTTACCGTACTACTCCGAAACGACTATTAGGTATCTATTTTTCATACGCCTAAGTGATAAGGGTTGTCCACCACTAACATTTTTTTATAGTGTGACATATAAAAATACATGTAACCCTAAATTTTCACCCGGCACGAAGTTCGCTGGGTCAGCGAGTAAAGTATAATTTTATGTAACTGTGAACTTGATTATTTCGATGAATAGGTCGGAAATTAGTGTTACAATTTACACGTTTATTATACCTTACACTAATTTACTGTACTGACCCACATCTATATTATACATATACAGGGTGTTACAAAAATACAAATAAAACTTGAAGGGCGATGAAGTACACCATATAAGAAGTCTTCTCTAATTTTCTTAAAATATATGAATGAAGTTATAACCTTTTAAAAAAACAGTTATTTTTAATGATCCTCGAACTAGTGACATGTCTTAAATATATCGATATTTTTTTTAATCTTTAAAAACAACTGTTTTTTAAAAAGTTAAAACTTTTTGCAAAAATTTTAAGAAAATTAGAGAAGACTCCTTATATGATGTACTTTAACGCCCTTCAGGCTTTATTTGTATTTTTGTAACACCTTGTAAAATTCAAAGGTGACTGACTGACATAGTGATCTATCAACGCACAGCCCAAACCACTGGACGGATCGGGCTGAAATTTGGCATGCAAATAGATGTTATCACGCAGGCATCCGCTAAGAAAGGATTTTGATCAATTTTACCCCGAAGCGAAGCGAGGGCGGGCCACTAGTTTCCCAATAAAACATTTGAATTGGACACCTCGAAAGCCGGCGTGGTCGTCAATTAGTCGACTTATATAAAAATTGTTTATCCTTTTACTCATGCTGCCTTTCTATTATTCTGTGGCTGTTTCCGTTTATGCTGCCCTTTGCCAGGTGGCTCTTATGACCTTTGACAACTGTTACGAAAGCGCCAAAAATATATTCAAAACTCAAACTCATTTATTCAGTCTAGGCTGTTACAATTACAAGCTCTTGTGAAAGTCAAACGCTACGCCATCGCATCGGTTCGTAAATCTACGGCGGGAGACCTTGTACCGAGAAGAACCGGCAAGAAATTCAGCGAGGTCTAATTTTTTCTCCCTGTTTTGTTTCATACAGTGTCGTCAATTGAAAGATGGCATCAAAAATTAAAAACATGTGTTGATGTCAACTTTCCACACATTAATATTATTAATTGACAATAAGTTAATTATAGATAGGTATTGGTGTCGATTCTGGCGTGATACTCTAAACTTAAAACTAAATTTAACATCAATCTCTCCTTTTCATTCCGTATAGAGAATGACAAGGATACACTGTTGTCAAATTTAAGTTTAGGTTTAGAGAATCGTGTCAGAATTGACACCATTGGCGTCGATTCTGGCGTAATTCTCTAAACTTAAAACTAAATTTAACATCAGTCTCTCCTTTTTATTCTGTATAGAGAATGACAAGGATACACTGTTGTCAATTTTAAGTTTAGATTTAGAGAATCGTGTCAGAATTGACACCAACTATTTTTAATTTCGAAGTGGCGATTAAACAATTTTCAACCAAATTAGCAAAGTAAAACGACTTATTCTATTCTAATTAGCCCAAGGTGCGTTATAATTTATGAAATCTTTAACAGTATATATAGTAACCTTTCATAAGAAGACATGTTTTTATACACACTTAAGACTTATTAAAAGGTAAATTAATAAGCTAGTTAGAACTTATCTGCTCGGTAAACAAATAAGGATGTTGTCTTTGACGTTGACAGGGTACTTTAGTTTGCTTTAAAAGCAAACACTTTTCCAAAAAAAACAACATACATCGCTTTTCTTCACTGAGCAGATTAGCTTCATTAGAACTCAGCGATTGTGAAACAGGCTCTTAGAAACAAGATGGCGTTGCCGACAAAATATCATGTTTATATGGAGAAAAACTTTGGTTTTGAAGAGACTTTTTATTGGCTTCCGAGCAGTAAGCATCTCAGTTACTTAATCGAATTGTCTTTCAAATGAAAGACTGAAAGTGCCAAAATTGGCACCCATTTTACAAGACCTGATAAATTACTTGTACAAGCTTACGACCAAGGCTTGTTTACCGGTTAATTTTCAAACCTAAATCAGTGTCAAGTACATTAGGAGCGTTTTATTTAGGTTTGGCTCTAACTTAACCTTAAAAAACCGGTTTTCCTAAAAAGCGAAATCAAACAGGGGGCCAATCGCCTAACGGAAATGCTTTGGAAAACGCTAACGCTTACGATTTTATTTTGTTATTTCTAGCCGCCTGAGGTATTCAAATGCCTCGCGCTCTTTCTTTTTCTTTTGCATTGGTAATAACAATATTAAAAAAAATGAGCGTGAGGTATTCAAAAACCTCAGGCGGCTAGAAATGACAATATAAAATCGTAAGCGTTAGCGTTTCCCAAAGCATTTCCGTTAGGCGATTGGCCCCCAGGTTTTGAATCAATTTAGCGGTTTTTAAAGGGTTTCATTTCGCTCTTTATGACGGTGTGGCGGCGACATCTATATGCCCCACATATAGACAACGGATGGAGGAAATCATTACTCACCATCCTCAAGAGATGGCGTTACCTCCACTGCGATCAATAACAGTATGGAAGCCTACATCGCGCAAATGAAATTCTGAAGCTAACTCTTCATATATACGATGCCCGACCAACATCAGTCGGGCCGCGGCCCCCGAGCTACCATCACCCAGTTCGGAGGAAGATCTTCCCCTTTGGCCTTCCTACACTGGTGACCCTCGACTGAGCACAGCAGCAGCAAGAAGCAACCTTCTACCATCGCAGCGCAGCCATCAATCCTCCTGCCCCTTCCTCATCAGGTCAAGCAACATCAGCAGCCACACAGCAAGCCAGCATCAGCCTCAAGGTTCCATCGCAGCTCTCAACGACGCTTCCTGGACCTTCGGCAGCACTCGACGGCATCATCCCGACCTGGTCTCCGCAGTCCACGATCGGTACCTCACTTGTCGGCCGCAAGAACACCAGCGTGGCAGCCCTGCACACCAGCAGCTCGGACCCACCGTCACACTCCACCTGTCTCGACTCACCGTAGACTGGAGCAACTCTGCAGCACTGGCGACGCGCCTTCACCCCACCCGTCTCGACTCACCGTAGACTGGGGCATCCTGCAGCACACTGGCACTTGCAAGCTCGACTGACGCACTGACTGCTGAAAAACACTGACTATCGACCTCCGGTCTCGGAGGGGAGTGATGTGGCGGCGACATCTATATGCCCCACATATAGACAACGGATGGAGGAAATCATTACTCACCATCCTCAAGAGATGGCGTTACCTCCACTGCGATCAATAACAGTATGGAAGCCTACATCGCGCAAATGAAATTCGGAAGCTAACTCTTCATATATACGATGCCCGACCAACATCAGTCTGAATACGATAGCATATTATAAAAAATAATGTAAACACTAAAGCGACGGTTTTGAATTCAAGCAATTTGTGTCGGTACACCACAATGTATCGTGTTGTGGCCCCGTGAATATTAAGTTTTTTATCAATATTGTGCCGCCTTGTTCATACATCGTAAAAACAGTTCACAATAACAAAAAAAGCATTTACTTTGCTTTGGTGGCATGCATTGCGTGTACCTTGCGCTCCGTCTAGGGTTAGGTACCATTTTTGCATTTTGTCCGGACTTTGTCAGGCTTTTTTTGTCCGGATTTTTTAATTAGAAAGAATATGAGTAAATCTACTTATTGAATTTTTGTAACAATCTGTATATATCAATGCTATTTTATATATAGATATGTTACGTTCATAGTAATTGCGTTTAAAATCTGTTACGAATTCCAACCAAACTTGAAAATTTCAATTGTTTTCTTGTACATAGAGTTACCTTTATTAGTCGTAGAGTGGTCACCTCTACGATTAATAAAGGTAATATTATGTTGCGCGTGTGATGCTCGTAGTGTTTCCTTGGTCAAATTACCCTCCAACTTTCATCCCTGAAATGAAGGTTCACTTCTAAAACCTTTGAATATTATTAATAAATAATATCTTAATATATATAAATCTCGTGTCACAATGCTTGTCCTCAATGGACTCCTAAACCACTGAACCGATTATAATAAAATTCGCACACCATGTGCAGTTTGATCCAACTTGAGAGATAGGATAGTTTAAATCTCAAATTATAGTCGCAATTTGAATTTATTGCAAATTATTACTTTTGGGCGGTACGAAGTTCGCCGAGTCAGCTAGTAATTATATATTTCTTAACAATAACGTAAAACTGCAACTGATAAAACTTGATGTGTGTATATTCATTGTTAGGTGTAATTTTATAGATGGCGACACATTTGATTTCATCGTAGTGGGATCAGGGACTGCGGGCTCCATCGTGGCTAGCAGACTGTCCGAGATCCCCGAGTGGAAGGTGCTACTCATAGAAGCTGGTGAAGATCCTCCCCTTGAATCAATTGTGAGTACCTAATCGAATGTCTTAGTATGTCAGATTGCCACCAAATCTCGTAAATAGACCTCCAAAAATTTTGAAAGTTTTAACCTTTGTGTTGGCTGTTATTCTTTTACGAGTACCTACAGCTCTACAGTGATCAAAGCTTGATCACTATAAGTAACACGTTTAAAAAGTTTTTATAGCTTTAATTATCCACCAATTTGATAACGCAGAACTAGTCACCTAGTGTCGCCGCACACGGGCTACCGACCTCAACCACAAAATGCCGCCACCGTTATATTTCTTGCAATTTTTAAACGCCGCCATACGCTACAAATCGTCGTTACTCGCTTCTTGTGGCCCGCACCGGCCACTTAATGCGCCGATACAAAACGCCGCCACACGTCACTCGCGCGACTCGCGGAAGAGAGGGGTGGGGACCCCTCTCTTCCTTACCTTAGTCGGCCGCTGTAGCACGCTGCAGCCGCTTTAGTAGCCGCTTCTAGCTTCTCGTGGCGGCATTTGTGGCTGTGGCGCATGGCGTGTGGCCCGTATGCGGCGACACCTAGTAATAACTTATAAACATATAACAGGGTACTTTACAAGAAGACCTTCATATAGTTTACAAATATTTGTATTTTTATTTGAATTAAAAATATTTTTAAATAGTTTTAGACGAACTTCTATAAAGAGTGTTTTTTTTTCAAGATTTTGCCCAACGAATTAAAAGAGGTCTGCTACTTATTACGTATAAATAAAAATAATACGTGCTTTAGAATCAATTGAAGTTTTTATTTATTATTTTCAGGTACCAAATTTTGCAGGAGCCACACACAGAAGCAAACACGTATTCCAGTATTATACAGAACGAGATAATAATACCAATAAGGGCAGTGTAGATAGAAGATCTTTTTGGCCCCGAGGCAGAGTCCTGGGTGGTACTGGATCGATCAACGGTCTCCTTTATATGCGAGGAAGCCAGGGTGATTATAAACATTGGCAGGTCGAGAAAGGAGGTGGCTGGGACTGGCAAACTATAAAGCAATACTTCATGAAAAGTGAAAAAGTTGTTGACCCTTTCATCCTAAACAATCCTGACTTAAGGAAAGATCACGGTACTGAAGGCGAATTCATTGTTGATCAATTGAATTTCACCCATATTGAAATAGCAGAAATGTTAACAAACGCGTACAAAGAAATGGGCTTAAAGTACTTGGATGATTTAAACGGACCAACTCAAATGGGTGTCGGCAAATTAAGAGGAGGAAATCACAAAGGCAGAAGAGTTAGCACAGCAACTGCTTTTCTCAATCCAGCTAGTAAACGTGAGAATTTATATGTTTTGAAAACCTCATATGTCACAAAAGTTAATATTGACGATGAATACAGGGCTAAAAGTCTAAGAGTTATTGTTAAGAGCGGCGAAGCCTTTACATTGTACGCATCCAAAGATATAATTTTAAGTGCTGGCGCTATAAATACGCCTATCATATTGATGCTTTCAGGGATAGGACCAAAAAACCATCTACAGGAATTGGGTATTAAAGTAGTACAACATATGGCAGTTGGAAAAAACCTTCAAGACCATGTTAGAATACCGATCCCAGTAACAATCGATACTGGAGCTAAAGAGAAAGATAACAAGTACTGGTTGATAGCTGCTGCACAATATTTATTGGATCAGACCGGTCCACATGCCACCAATTATGATCAACCAAATATCAATGCATTTTACTCAGTTCCTGATGGCAAAGAATTACCTGATGTTCAAATTGATCACAACTATTTCGTACCTAACACATCCTATGTGTACTCAATGTGTAAAGATATAATGTCCTTCCAAGATGATATATGTGAACAGTTCTCAAATTTTAATTCCGAGAAGGAATTAATAATATTTTTTGTATCTTTATGTAGACCGTTTTCGCGAGGCAAAATTGAGTTACGCTCGAGAAATCCTGCAGATTTTCCAAAAATATATCCTAAATATTTCAGTGATAAGCGTGATATGAAAACTTTTGTTGATGGTATAAAGAGATTAACGGATATAATTAACACTCCAACGTTTAAGGAAGCTAAAGCTGAATTGAAAAGGATACAACACAAAGATTGTGATGGCACTGAATTTGCCAGTAATGATTATTGGGAATGCATGGCAAGAACGGTGACGTACAATGTTTACCACCCTGTTGGTACAGCGAAAATGGGTGATAGTGAAGACTTACGAGCCGTTGTAAACAACAATCTTGGTGTATATGGTTTGAGTGGATTGAGAGTAGTAGATGCAAGCATAATGCCTACCATACCAAGTGTTAACACAAATGCCGCTGTCATGATGATTGCAGAAATGGCTTCTGATATTATTAAGGAGGATTACAATATTTTTCACAATAATGTGAAAGATGAACTGTAAAACTTTCGTTTCATTTTCAGAAAGAGAATATCACCTTAAATTAACCCTTGAAATGCAATTTCCATCTAAAATATGCTAACGACGCTGCGTTTGGCATTAGTTTGGCGTAAGATGCCCGAAAACAATAATAACTTCCTAGATCTGTGTCCAGACGAAACACAATGTAGTATTCCAAGCTATGAATAAGGATTTTAGATCAACGATATTAAATACCCTAGATACAACAACACGTACAAAATCGAGGACGAAACCTGTCCAAAAGGTACATTGGACGATAAACGGAGCTCCGTAAGATGTTCGCGTTGTCAAAAACAATAAATCAGTTTATAGTAAGTATTAGAACAAAATTTGATTCAAATGTGTTAAATTAACAAAGAATGATGTCGATTCTGGCATGATTCTCTAAAGCTAAACTTAAATTTGACAACAGTGCATCCTTGTCATTCTCTATACAGAATGAAAAGAAGAGACTGATGTTAAATTTAGTTTTAAGTTTAGAGAAACACGCCAGAATCACCACCAATAATTACATACCTGTCGAAAAGCCCACACTTAACATACTATAAGTATTTTTTCGCATTTTTTCACCGGCTCTGCGTCATCTTGACTTTTCAACGGTCCGCGTGTGACTGCGAACCAAGAATTACTTAAGTGGAGTTCAAGCACTTCTTGATTGGATACATTTTGAAACCACGCGGTGTATCTAGGGTATTTAACATCGTTATTTCAGAGCTTTAATGGGTAGTCCAATAGGTAGCTTCACGTTTAGGAAAAGTAACTGGGTGATAGGTGTGGCTTATGTATACCATGGCTTATGTGTACCACCTGGTATAGAAAATATCATTATTTTGTTTTAAACGTTCTTGGCCCACTAACATTATAGAAATTTATGCTATTTACAGGATTGCCACCATTTAATATCAGGGACTCGGAAAAGAGTAAGGTAAGTAAGTTATGTATAGTAAATTACTGTTTTAGAAGTATAGCATTGAATCAAACGTAGTCGCATTAAGTGTGCCGGCCCAGTTGTTCCTGACTTTCTACATGAGCGTAGAATTGGTGTCCTTACGGATGGTAGTAGTTAATGGTTCATGACACTGAATGCCGACGTTCTTCAGGGCTCCGTCCTGCCCCCACTCTCTTTCTGCTGCATATCAATGACTTAATTTCTCTTGGGAATTTACCTTGCTATGTAGACGATAGTACAGTGCACGCGGGATATCTCGGACAAACAGCGGCCGGACAGGCGGTAACCAAGGAGAAACGGGAGAATCTTTTCATTGAACTCAATCAGCCTTTGGACAACATTTCCGAATTGAGTATTAAGAACTTGGTTGAGTTCAATGCTAAGAAAACCCAGGTCTGCGCTTTCACGGCAAGATCGCCGCCATTTCTTTCATTTCCTTCTCTTCAGGGCACAACACTGGAGGACACCATGCTTGGTATGGAAATTCGCTGCAACTTAAATCCAAAGAATAACGTCGAAAGCGTGGTTAAAACGGCCTACCGCAAACTCGGAGTCCTGAACAAGGTGCGGTTTTTTTTTCACGCCCAAGCAACTGTGCTTGTTGTATAAGACGCAGGTGTAATATTGCTCGCACCTCTGGGATGGCTCCGCCAAGTACTTGCTCGATGCTTTGGATAGGTTACAGCGGAGCGCGATCCGCATCATAGGCGATGAGGAGGTGACTAAACACCTCGAGCCTCTTCAATTACGCCGTAACGTAGTAGCGTTACTAAGCGCGTTCTATCGTCTGTACCACGGCGAGTGTTCTGAGGAGTTATTCTCTCTTATTCCGCCTTCCCCTTTCCTTCAGAGGACCACGCGCGCTGGCCTACCTTGCCACCGACTAACTGTGGCCACTATTTCAACACGTACAAAGAAACTTGGTGACTCATTTCTTTGTCGCACTATCCGTATATAGAATGCTCTGCCCGCTCACGTGTTCCCTCCCTCTTACAACCTGGTATTCTTTTAAAGAGCCGTTAAAAAGCAAGATGCAGACCGGCAAGGTGAGGATGGCTGGTGTGGCAAGTGGAACTGCTGTACCAGCTATCTTCGCATCTGGACTTCACCGTCACTTAACAGCAGGTGGGGTGGAGTCATTAATCGGACCTATCTAAAAAAACTGTACTATATGTATTGATTGGTGAATAACGCTTCAAAGATACTACGGGCTAGGGTATGATGGAGTCGGGATAGGCAACTGCGCGAATGATACTCTGGTACTGGTACACCATATAATAGCGTATCCTATATACACGACCTTATACGCTATTATATGGTCGTTACTTACCATCAAGCGGGCTGTAAGATACTTTACCACTATTTTCACATTAAACAATTTAGGTTAAGGTTAGTGAATGAATAAATAAAAGTCATGGAGATTCTTAATGAAATTACCTATTTTAATAAAGTTACAATCAATACTAACAAAGTAATTAACTGTAGAAAATTATACTAAAAAAATCTTCGGCCGAGTGGAGTTTCTTAGGGGATGGACATTGAGAATCAACTGAGCGTACCCTGTATATAAACATAAGGTGTAGTTGTATGAAAGTACAACGCAAGTGACACTTTTAAAATCATTAATAGAAAAGTGCTTCCTCAGCTGGGATTCGAACCCGGGCCACCCGTGTATGTAGCAGGCGAACTTTCTACCACTGAACTACCGATGCTTATTTATATTGTCACAAACGCTCTCGAAACGTAACAGCGAAAGTGCTAGAGATCGAATGTGCCAGAGCACCGCGGGTCGCGATAGAGGTCAAGTACTGCGGCTCATTTTAAAATGAGCCTTATACAGTGCAGCGTAAGGGAGAAAGTGCAACGACATCTGCACTTGTTTACAAGTTATGCGCGTTACCTGCGTAGGTATAAGTAGGTACTTCGTACTCGCGGGTGCTAGCTAATTATCAATTTAACAGGCACTTTCTAGAATGCGTCGATTGGCGTATATAAGCGCGATTGGTGCCGCGCAGAGACAGTTGAGTTTCAACAGCGATTTCGGAGCGAATCCAAAGGCGATCAAAGTGCAACAAAAGTGTTCAAGTGAGATTGTTTAGAGACCTGTATAGTAAATAAAATACAGTGTTCAGTGAGTGGTTTGTAATGAACATTGTGTGTTAATTGTGTGAACTGTGTGGTGAATAAAGAGCTGTCAAGCGTGAACTGGCATATAATTTCGAACCCCATCCCGACACGTAACAATTCGTGTCAGAAGTGGGATGCCAGTCACACCGCGCGACGGAAGCGAAGGCGTACTCGACGGCAGGCCGTAATGGACCATTCGCGGGAGTCGGGAGTAGCGGCGCCTGAAGATGGTTCAAGCTAGGCTTGTTGAAAATATATCGATGTATCGATATATCGATATTTTTTGTTCGATATATCGATATTTTTGCCGATATATTTTGATTCGATATATCGATACATCGATACAAAATAACCAATATCGAAATTCGTATCAAAGACGATATTTTTTTAATTATTAGCGGCATATCACGATCTAACTAAATTCGTATCTGGAAAAATCGTAACTGGAGCTCAGATTAATGATATTCAACATATCTATGATCTGTGCTGTATTTAGTATTGTCTATGTCATCATTCGAAAATAGGGTCTATTTTTAGGGAGATAATTTTCGTTTCATTATTATTCCGCGTGTCATATTTCGTGAGCTACTGTACGATATTTTTGGGAAAATTGGTCCGATATATCGATATATCGATGTTTTTTTCGCGATATATCGAAGCCGATATTGATATTTTTTAAAAGATCGATGTATCGATATATCGATATTTTTTTCAACTTTCGACATCCCTAGTTCAAGCACACCACAGACGGCTCACCACAGTGGTGTTGCCGCTACAAGTACTGCGCTTGCGTTCGACATATCATCATTAATGGCGGCTACGCAAGCTATTCTAGAGGGCCAACGACAAGCTATGGAGAGTCAGCGACAAGCGCTCGCGAATGTCAAGGAGGACATGAAGGCAGCTATTGATTCGAAACTTGAAACATTAAAAACAGCTTGTAGTGACCTCCAAGACGAAATACAATGCGTTAAGAGAGATTGTGTGAACTGTGTGGTGAATAAACAGCTGTCAAGCGTGAACTGGCATATAATTTCGAACCCCATCCCGACACGTAACAATATGCTTAAGAGGAAAAAAAAATTTGTAGCGATATAATGGTGTCGATTCTGGCTTGATTCTCTAAACTTAAAACTAAATAAAACATCAGTCTCTGCTTTTCATATTGTATGGAGAATGAAAAGGATACACTGTTGTCAAAATTAATTTTGATTTAGAGAATCATGGTAGAATCGATACCAATAATAATTTCACTTTACAAAACTGAGCAGATAAGCGATCTTGCTACAAATCGATGAGCTACACCCATTGAAGTCTACATGCTTCAAAAAATGTCGGAACCAAAATTACGCACAAACGTAATACAGGTCACGTAACTCCAGCGCTGAACAAAACGTTGGTAGGGATGTCGAAAGTTGAAAAAAATATCGATATATCGATACATCGAGGTGACGATCTCCGTGGCCGCGTGGTTTGTACGCCGGGTTTCATGGCGTCGCTGACAGAGGAATCCCGGTGGGGGCAGATATTTGTGTGATGAACACGAGCATTTGTACTCCAGTCATGGATGTTTAAATATGTATTTCTATATAAATATACTTATATATGTAAAGTATGTGTATTCTATCCGTTACCCTAGTATCCCATAACACAAGCCTTATAGTGCTTACTTTGGGGCTAGGCTAATTGGTTTGAGTGTTGGAAATATTTATTTATTTATTTATTTATCGATATTTAAAAAATATCAATATCAGCTTCGATATATCGCAAAAAGAACATCGATATATCGGACCAATTTTCCCAAAAATATATTTAGGTCAGCCGAGAACACTAATAATAACAATACAAATTATAATTAAAGAAAGAATAATCAAAGTACCAAATTGCCGCAACACTACATGACAGTACAGTATCTCACGAAAGATGACACGCGAAATAATAATGAAACGAAACTTATCTCCCTAAAAATAGACCCTATTTTCGAATGACGAAAATGATTGCAGGGCCTCTCAGGTGCCATCTTTCGTAAACAAAGACTAGACAGTCACACACTTCCACAGAATATAATGGAATTCAGCACAACCAATTCACCAGCGAAACAGATTTACAAATCATAGACAATACTGAATACAGCACAGATCATAGATATGTTGAATATCATTAATCTGAGATCTAGTTACGATTTCTCCAGATACGAATTTAGTTAGATCGTGATATGCCGCTAATAATAATTAAAAAAATATCGTTGGTTATTTTGTATCGATGTATCGATATATCGATCAAAATATATCGGCTAAAAATATCGATATATCGATACATCGATATATTTTCAACAAGCCTAAACGTTGGGGGCTAGCTGCGCATGGGTACGACTGGAGAGCCAATCGGCGCAACGCACGCACCCGCGCACCTCGTTTCCCCCCAACACATCTTATTTTTTACTTCTGCTCAATAACGGTCAGCGCTAGAGTTTCGTGCCGCAACTTATAGTAATAGCCGTTTGTGCCTGATTTACAAACAGTAATTTTTAACAGCCGCGCAATGACAAAATGTTCGCATAAAAACTGTACAAATGACACCATATTCATATTTAAAAACATGGAGTGTCGTATTCGTATTTCAGGTAAGTGTACCTTTAAAGTAACAAAGTAGGGTCTGTGCGGAAAGAGAATGGGCGTGGCGAAAAACGAAACTAACATTAAGATTTTTATTTGGCAATCAAACCCAGCAATCTGTAAAACGTCAAAGTTTTGTATTGATACGGATTTGTTTGTTGTTGTGATTTCTTGTGGTTTTTTGTATTTAATCATGTCTAAAAGGGGGTAAAACCTTACAAATACGGTAGAAAAGCACTACAGCGCCCTCCAATCTAAATCCCATTCTCTTTCCGCACAGACTCTAACGCAACTACCTTGGCGTTTTCTATCGTATTGCTACTTAATTGCATTTAATCGCTACAACAACAAAAATACCTTTCCCCTTGTACGTCACGTGTTCATGTATGGCTCATTTGCACCGTAATCAAACTGTCCCTATCTCTGTCGTTGTGGGATGTGGATTCGACGATCATTGTCCCTCTAGTCGCTAGCGTAAACGGTCTCATAGCGAAGAGTCTCGACCAACATCTAAAGAGTCTCTCGCTAGACGGTTGGGTCAAGGAGCAGATGCAAAAGGCAGTACTCCTAGACACAGCGCGCATTGTCAGGCGGTTTCTTTCTCTGCGGCACTAACCACCGGTAGCTTGGGCCTAGCTCCTAGGTTAGGTTTTTTATACTATATATTTATTTTTGTATTTACATTTTTGTATTTTACTTTTTACTTTAACTGTGAAATTAATTAAATGAGAGATAATAATAATAATCATTTAATTCGGACAAATATACATCCATATTATGGTTTGTTACATGACAATGCAAGCAACAACGTATAAATTTAAACAAATTTGATAATGTTGATAAATTGATACATATGTTTATCACGACCTCCGGTCGAGTGGTTTGTACGACGGGTTTCATGGTGTCGCCGTCTCGAGAAGTCTCAGTACAGTATATGTATTATATCCGTTACCCTTGTATCCCATAACACAAGCCTTACAGTGCTTACTTTGGGGCTAGGCTAATTGGTGTAAGTGTTGGAAATATTTATTTATTTATCCAGTGCCAGTCAAACTGGTTTTGAAGTACTTTTATGAGGCATTGGGAGTCTACTTGTTTTTGTACGTCAATGGTTACACCATCGCTTTTAAGGCAGAAACAGACCTATGAAACGCGACGCCACGCCACTCGACGCGTATTTTTATGGCGCATCGCGTCGTGTCGATGTTCCTAGTTTGATTCTGTTGATAGAAAATAGTATGATTTAACTCAACACGCGTGGCGTGGCGTCGTGTGGCGTCGCGTTTCACAAGTCTTTTTCGCCCATTACTCTTTAATCAGATGACATGCATGCATGATTTGAGAAATAAAGTTGTTTAATATAAATTAGCCTCTTCATATAGATAATTGTTTATTATTTAATTTCTCTTTTGTAATTTTTTAAGTTATACTTCTTTAGGCGCGTTATGAAAAAATGATGAGAGTGAAATTTTAAGATGCGCGCGCATCACTGTAACACAAAAATTAACAGCATGAAGTTGGCTTTAGCGACCAACTTCATGCTGTTACTTTTGTGTTTACCGCACATTAAGAAAATCTACCAACAAAATAGAAATAGAATCTCTATTTAGTGGGTGCTAACGACTGCATTGTGAAGGCCTATCAAAAGTATTTATTAATCTGGAACAACGGAACCAAAGCGCGATTCAGGAGACTACAGCGCCATCTCTTGACCATTGGTGTAGTAGAACCAAAAACCACATCTTTATTTTTTGTAATAAAGTAAGTTATAGGTATTCATATTTATAATATTTATCTACATGTTTCTAGTTTGTATATTCGGAATACGTGTTTGAGTTTCATACAAGTGCAAATCACATATGTTCTAATAAATTATATTCAGTAGCGATTTTAATTGAATATTTTGATTATTTATTTATTTTTTCAAATTAAAACTGAACTTTATTGACTGTGTCCTTTTCCAGACTTTTTATTAATTTATTGTAATTAATTATTTGCATGCAATTAAAAACTAATTTTAAACGATGCCAAAGAAGGATAACTTCTCACGCGCCTACATAAATACACGCACCCATTTTTTTATCTATAAGACACTACCATATTGCGATACTCTGACAGGGTTCACATTAGGTACTTTATGCATTTTGTAACTTGTAACCAGCTATGTAACCACATAAGTGCAATAAATTGAATTGAATTAAAGAAAAGCCAATGTGAGTGTCGTTAAGTCCGTTATCTCTTTGTGTATGTTTAAACTATATTACTGACACTATTATTACACTACTAATAAATATAGACACGTAGTGCTTGTACTTAGATACAGCCATGGTAAAGTGTGACCAACATCTTGTGGCATGTACACATATGACATTGACAAATGTCCCGGAATTGATAAGTCGGCATCTAACAAGCCTGCTTGTAGGGAACGTTATAATTTGCCATAATTCGGAAAGAGTAAAAGGAAGAGTAATAAGCTTTGAAATGTACACCTTCCCGTATAAATTAAAGGCTTATTAAAACCTTCCTACATTAGTTTAGGGATGTCGAAAGTTGAAAAAAATATCGATATATCGATACATCGATATTTTAAAAAATATCAATATCGGCTTCGATATATCGCGAAAAAAATTATCGATATATCGGGCCAATTTTTCCAAAAATATATTTAGGTCAGCCTAGCATAGTAATAATAGTTCAATACAAATTATAATTAAAGAAAGAATTATCAAAGTACCAAATTACCGCTACACTACATGACAGTACAGTATCTCACGAAATATGACACGCGGAATAATAATGGAACGAAAATTATCTCCCTAAAAATAGACCCTATTTTCGAATGATGAAAATGCCAATGCCAGGGCCTCTCAGGTGCCATCTTTCGTAAACAAGACTAGACAGTCACACACTTCCACAGAATATAATGGAAATCAGCACAACCAATTCACCAGCGAAACAGATTTACAAATAATAGACATTACTAAATACAGCACAGATCATAGATATGTTGAATATCATTAATCTGAGATCTAGTTACGATTTTTCCAGATACGAATTTAGTTAGATCGTGATATGCCGCTAATAATTAAAAAAATATCGTTTTTGATACGAATTTCGATATTGGTTATTTTGTATCGATATATCGAATTAAAATATATCGGCAAAAAATATCGATATATCGAACAAAAAATATCGATATATCGATACATCGATATATTTTCAACAAGCCTACATTAGTTCTGTCTTTGGTCGCGTGCGAGAAGACCTCGGTCACCCTGTAATACATGTAGGCGCCGGTTTTCTTATGGGTATTCGTCTTCAGAGAGCAAGCTTTCAGGCCTCTTCTCGCAGATGAAGGATATTGTGTTGCCTGTACACCAGAAGTCGTCGAGTTCCTCGCGCCATATGCCACCGCAGTGAGACCCGCTACTATCAAAGGCTCTGTTGTTGTCGGGTTGGCCTGATGTGAAGTTCGCATAGCCAGCTTCAACCAGCCGTTGACCTGAAGCAAAGGTGAATTTAAGCGGAGTAGTGAAAAGGTGCTAGAGTAATCAGGCAAAGAAATACCTTTTTATAAAGTCATTTTCTTTACGAGCGAATCTGGAATGAATACGAATCTAAGGTATATAAATTCACGGTGTACATAGCCCATTTTGGACAAGAGCGTTTGAAAACTGGATACTCACCGTGGACTGTGTAGAAAACGCGATCCTCTCCCCAGGTATGAATGCCAATTGATACGCCTTCTTTGCTTTGAGCCATTCTGGTGTCGGGCGGATATCTAGCGAAGATCTCCTTGATGACTTCCAGCTCGGTCTTGCTGTTGACGATGGCGAGGTGACCCCCTTCGGCCATGCAGGTCATGTATGCGTTCCTCCAGGTGCGACCCACTCGGTGGAACTTGTAGCAGCTGCCCGTGCGAGATTCCAGGAAGTAATCTAGAAGAATCGGCAAATAGAAATTTATCTTTTGTCAAATTTGAAGCCCTGTATCATGTTACAAACTATTGAATATACTGTTTATCTTCTACTTGAGGTAGTCGCTAATTTCAAAAAGAATGATTAGGCTTATAACTATACTTTCAGACACATCTATCAGCCCGCTTAGTTAGCTAAAATTTTCTACAGATTTTGGAATCTTCTTTGAACTTTAGAATTATGGTTTAACCATAAACATATAAATAACTGTTTATGGTTAAACCATAATTCTAAAGTCACACGAAAAGATGTTTAATAAATCAGCTTCATAACTGCGTAGGTAATAACTACTATTTGCTCAATGTAGTTTATTTTTAGCTAGTGACCGTCAAAACATAAAATGCTAGGTGGGTCGATAGATGCGTCTGGAAGTCATAGATGAAATAGTACAAAAAATCTATCGATGCATTTTAACTGGATTTTAGTGGGTGGACAGGATGAATTATAGACACGAGTTGTATTCATTGGAGTAAATTCACAGCTGAAAATCTACAGCAAAGTTAAATATACTCTATACGATTTGCCTGAAGAGTAGAAAAAGGTCAATTTTGAGTCTTGTCCTACTATGGTCCTAAACTACAAGGTTTCTCCATCAGACGCTGTATATCGACGTTATGAATAATAAATATATTCTGGACACTTACCATTATCAATAGTCCCACACTCGTTGATGGCCATATTGACAGTTTTCTTCTTGTAGCAGATGAAAGGGAAGGTCTCTGTGCAGCGGACGTCGGCCATTTTGCCATTCTCGAACATGGCGATGCAGCTTTCACTGTCATTGTAGTTGTCGGGCTCATTTGGAGCCCATTCTACCGAAATTTTCGATAGGGGTTTTCCTGTAAAATGTATGAAGATGAAGACCCGTCATCGAAGATAGAGTTTTGTTAGGTCAAATTTAGTTGGAATAACTTTTGTTGGATTTCTTTTGCATTTCTCGCTTTCATCTAAGGAGGAGTGGGTGTGGCTGAAAACCAGCGCTGCCCGAGACATTCTGTAACGAAGCAGTTTATGCTGAGCCACATCCATTTGCTCTTCACGCTGTCATATCGCATTGTACTATGTATTGAACAGTGTATTACTGTGAGAGCAATAAAAATATTTCTATTCTATTCTATTCTATTGAATATCTTTAAGTGAGTGACTCTGGACATACATTTTATGAGTACAATCTTATCTCGTTCTTATGTGCATTAAGTTCTTTAAGAGGAATATACTTATTTATCTCTTTTAAAATATCATTGTCACGTGATTGTAATCCGGCCAAAGGCGATTCGGACTCACATATGATCGAGAAGAAAACGATAAAAATATTGCAGGCGCCCAAACCCCTAGAACCTGGGTTCCGAACCTGGGGGTAATTACCCCTCCGGGGGTAAATCAGCCATACTTCAGAGGTAACAAAGGACCTAATTATTTAGTCAAATCTAAATAATAAGAAAATTCTATATAATAATACTACTAAATGCGCTCCGCTCCTTCTTGCTAGCGAGCCCGCGGGGTGCTGAGTGTGGGAAGCGGGGCGAGGTTATCTCCTGATGATGACATTATTGGAGACGAAGATGTAACGGCCAAATTGGAATTTCCTCGACTGATAACATTTTAAAGTCGGGGTAAAATCTATTTTCCTAATAAGTTACAGGGGTAGCAGTATCGGAAAGGTTAGGAAACACTGCCCTATAACTTTGGGTTACGGGAAAATAATAAAATTATTCGTGCTCAATGTTTATCAGGAGAAGCTAACCCTAGGCGTGCGCGTGGGTTTAAAGTGGGCTGTATCTAGCAGACGGTAATACGCAATCAAATATAGAAAAAAAATACAAAATACGTCTTTTTGATTATCTAGATTTGTTACTGTTATCTAATTTACTTTTTTTTTTTTATATATAGGTCCGACAAATGACTCCACCCCACCTGATGTTAAGTGAAGGTGAAGTCCAGACGTGACGATAGCTGATACAGCAGTTTTACCTGCCACACCAGCCATCTTCACCCTGCCGGCCTGCATGTTGCTTCTTCACGCCTCTTTTAAAGGATCCCAGGTTGTAAGAGGGAGGGAACACGTGAGCGGGCAGAGCATTCCATTTACGGATAGTGCGACAAAGAAATGAGTCACCAAATTTCTTTGTACGCGTTGGAATTGTGGCCACAGTAAGACGGTGACAACGTAGGCCAGCGCGCGTGGTCCTCTGAAGGAAAGGAGAAGGTGGGATAAGAGAGAATAACTCCTCAGTTACCTAGTCCAACTTACCCTCAATGGACGCGAAGGATCCCTTAGCGACTGAAGAATGAATCCCCGTGTACAATGTGCAGGAGTTCACGATGATCTTCTTATGCAGCGCCATCATCGCGTTTTTGAAGTAAACGTTCAGCGGCGACGCTAACACCGCGCCTGTAATAATAGTATTTATTGTTTCAATTCGTAACAAGGAATAGGTAGTTGCGATATCTATCTTAAGAAACTGTACATCAATATCTTAGACATAACCAATGAAATGATTATGTTTGTCATTGTTCAGATGTGGTTATGGGGTGATGTTCCACTGTAAAGCTGCAGGTTTTCTTTTCAAGAATAAGAAATTGAAGTTGTTTATTTCATAGTACAAAAACAAATATACGTTGCTATTTAAACTAACGTTTAACAAAATATTTAAAATTATTCATTTATGCTAAAGTAAAAAACAATCAGCAAGAGGTCGCTTATAATAGCGGATACGTAAGTAGGTATAATTTAAATTAGATACTACAATCAGAGAACTGAATCACGATTTTTTTGAACGGTACATACATTCGAGCAACCGTCATAAATTAATAATTGCTTTAATACTTTTGAAGTGAAACTTCTTTACACACGCTTGACTTGGGCGAGCGAACGCGTTACGAAATGTGTGATCGGGCAAGGCAAACGGGAGTTGAGTGGGGGATATAAGCAAGAGAAAGCAGTGCGCACGCACATTTTCTTTCTCTTTTTCTCTTATAGCTAGTAAATGAAATATGTGTATGTACACACATGTATATACACATACAGATGGAGCTAAAGAAGTTTCACTTCAGTCCTGTGGTCATAAGCACATACTTTTTTAAAAAAACATATAAGAACACATACCGTATAAGCATAAGTAAATATTAAATTCAGATGAAGCGTCAGAATTGGTGGTTTTATCGCTAAAAGCGATTTCTTCCAGTCAACCATGAGTATGAAAAGTTAGACAGAGATAGTAAGTTTAGAATGTTAAATGGGATATGTAAGGTTCAAAAATACACCCATGAAAAGTTGAAACCTGTTACCTTCTGCGTTGCAAATCCTAAAGGCGTCGAAGAAGGTGGACGGCATTACGTGCAGCTTCAGCCATCCGCTCACTTTCGGCTCATACGTGTAGTCGTACCGGAACTGTTGGCTGTTCACTAAACATACGAAATGCTTTAATACGTCCAAAAACCTTGAATCAAAACTCAAGAGGGTTGGCTTATTCTTTCTGGCTCTTTCTTAAGCCTTTGACACTGTCTCTATCCCTATTCTGATTTATAAAATGTTGAAGATCGGTATTTACGGTATTGAGTTTCTGCAGAGTTTTAATGAACGATTTCGTCATAAAAGTTCTCCTATTATAATAGATTATAACTAAAATATTGTATCTCTGTTTTTTCGCCACTCCATCACGTATATCGAAAAAAATTGGTCCTTCGATACCCGTCGACACCGATCCTACTCACATTCTTCTAATGGGGATACGTTTGTGTGTTGTTAATCAATCACTCGTGAGCAATGGATTTAGACGAACCGTGTACAGATATTACAGGACGTCCTGTCTAACGGTTGATTACATATTTGCCATCCATCCATTACGGGATGTGACGTGGACGGGGAGCTATGCATTATTCTTTTTATGTTAAAGGTGGCAAACAAGGATATGTGTTTTTAAGAATATAATACACAGTCAGGTCATAAGTATTGTCACACAGTAAAAACTTTTCTTTTAGAATGCTGGCCACAAAAAAGTTTATTGAATTCGATTTTAGAATTGTTCATGAAAATAAAAATGTATTTTTAGAATTTTACTCATTTTTAAATATTAAGTGGACGCTTAAAGAAGACCGTGTTGCAGTTATTGCGTTGCATCGTTGCGGTTACGCGCCAATTCAAATTTTTGACATACTGAAAAATTTTAATATAACCAAAAAAATCGTTTATCGTACCATCAAACGATACAATGAAGGCTCTAGTGTAGATGACAGGTCCAGAAGTGGTCGCTCTCGGTCTGTTAGGACTCCAGCAGTGATAATGCTATGAAGGCGCGAATTCAAAGAAATCCCAAACGTAAACAGAAACTGTTGGCCCTTCAGATGGGTTTAAGCAGAACCACGGTAAAAGGGTGTTAAATGAAGACTTAGGGCTTCGGGCATATCGAAGAAAAACAGGATATCGTTTGAATGCTCGTCTAATGAACCTGAGACTAAAGAGATGCCGCGCTTTGTTGAAGCGGTACGCGGGAAAAAAATATCGGGAAATTCTTTTTTCGGATGAAAAAATTTTTACCTCAGAAGAAAGCTACAGCAAACAAAATGATAAGGTGTACGCACAAAGTAGTGAAGAAGCGAGCAACCGTATTCCGCGTGTCCAACGAGGTCATTTTGCATCCTCGCTCATGTTATGGTTGGGAGTTTCTTATTGGGGCTTAACAGAGGTACATTTTTGTGAGAAAGGTGTAACAGTTGTGTATCAAAATACAGTCCTGACGAACCTTGTGGAACCTGTTTCTCATACCATGTTCAATAACAGGCACTGGGTATTCCAACAAGATTCGGCGCCAGGTCATAGAGCGAAGAGCACACAAGACTGAGAAGAATCGACTTCATCCGACACGAAGACTGACCCTCCTACAGTCCAGATTTGAGTCCGTTACATTACAAGATATGGCAACACTTGAAGGAAAAGGCGTGCTCAAAGCCTCACCCCAATTTGGAGTCACTCAAGACATCCTTGATTAAGGCAGCCGCCGATATTGACATGGACCTCGTTCGTGCTGCGATAGACGACTGGCCGCGCAGATTGAAGGCCTGTATTCAAAATCACGGAGGCCATTTTGCATAAACTTTATTGTCATAAGAATCTATGTTTTGTTAAGTTCATTTTGGTATATAAATGGTTACATAATGAATAAACTTGTTGCAATTATTTTATAGTAAACATGTGACAGAATTTATGACCTGACTAGGTAATTGTGGAGTGGTGGCAGAATACATGAGTATTAGATATGAATTTCAGTTTGATACCTTCTCGCGTTCCTGAGGAAAACGGTCTTGACAGACGGACGGACGGACGGAAAGTGATCCTATAAGGGTTATATTTTTTCCTTTTGAGGTATCGAACCCTAAATATAGATCCGCATCGAGAACATTTTCGTGCTATGATTTTTTATGATTTTAAATTTGGTTTAAAACCTGATTCATTTGATTGAATTCGAACTGCTTTTATGGATGAAGGACCTTCAAAAGCAACTTTCTACCGCTGGTGTAGCGACTTCAAATGCGGTCGTCTTACTTTGGGGGATGAACAAAGGAGTGGTCGTCCTACGACGGCTGTCACCGAAGACAATAAAAAAAATGATTCAAGAAAACAGACAAATAACGTACGAAAAGATTTAGCATACTCTGTTTATTGGTTCAAAAATTGTTCATAAGATTTTGCACGAGCACCTTTTCGTAAGGAGGATAGTTTCCCGCTGGGTGCCGCACAACCTTACCGAAGCTCAGAAGCAGGTCTGTGTGGATTGGTGCAGTGATATGATACAAACATTTGATGCAGGCTCGTCACGGCGCGTTTACGATATTGTGACAGGTGACGAATCCTGGATTTATCAATGCGATCCAGAAACAAAGCGTCAGTCAACAGTTCGGCTGTTTCAAAATGAACCAACGCCAAAGTGAAGCGATCGAGAAGCGCAGGGAAAATTTTAATCGCTAGTTTCTTCACTTTGACGAGGTATCTAATCCACTATCTATCAATTCCACTTCGAGATCAAAGCAACATCAACGCCGAATGGTATAAAATGGTATAACATAATATAGCACAAAATGCCTGCCAGAAGTTTTTTCTGCAATGAGCAACAAGCGACCTAATACCGGTCTCCGCGGGGTCCTTCTTCACCACGACAACGCGCCCGCGCACTCTGCGATCAAAACGAAGGACTTCCTGGACTCCACGCCAGTCAGAGTTTTGGGACACCCTTCTTACAGTCTTGATTTGACTCCGTTTGACTTCTTTTTATTCACTAAAATAAAAAATCAGCTCAAAGTGATACAGTTTTCAGAAAAAGCGCTAGCAGCGTTTGAGAAGACCGTGGAACAGGTGTCTGCGGAGGACTGGAAAAAATGTTTCGAAAATTGATTCAGACGCATGAAACTTTGTATAGAGGCTGGTGGAGAGTACTATGAAAAGATTTAAGCAATAAAAATATTTTTTTCATAGAAGTTACTTTTTTAGTTTCTCAAAACTTTCTGAGTGTCCCACGTATGTATCTCGTAATAATATTTTATGTAATCTTCATTAAACTAATACAGTTTATAAGTATATCAAATGAAACCTAGGTCTGAAATAAATGATTTGAATTGAATTGAGTTCAATAGGATCCCTTGACACAGTTCTTGTTAAAAAAATTAAATACATCGATAATAATAAGAAATGAGTAATCAAATATATTGGTGCTTTTGTGTTTTAGTAATTCAAAATTACAGAAACAGCATTCATACACGACTATTACTTTTAAGTTAGCAGAATCGACACCCTGGAGCGGTGCGGCATTTTTAAGCTACTCTCAGAATCCAGGCTCAAAATAACAGAAAATACACGACTCGAACATATTTATTTATGTTTAAAAATGTATGTTAAACTTTGTGTATTTTGCTTTCGACATTTAAAGCGTCTGGCAATAAATACTGCGGTCAGACGTTGCTTGGCAGTACTAAATTCAAATTGTTTACAATAGTCTCTATAATATATAAGATATACGTAAGTATATAATACGTAAGATATACGTAAGAGCCGTCTGCTCGTATGCCCCATGAAGACTTTTTGGCGGGATCGGGAAGCGTCACTTAAGAAGTTATGTTTTTCTTGTTAAAAAATATGTTGTGGTGGATGTTAGTATCTAATAATGGTGGAGTATTAACCGCTAAGTATTCGGGAACATGCACAAGTGTTGGCAAGTGAAACAAAATAGCGGAAAGTGTCTTTCGACTTCCCTCAAGAAGTCCACGGGGAGGTTCCAGTAAATCCCCACACTTTTACTGAAACATAGGGAAAGGGGGATTGACTTGACTGTCATTTACTTTTACTTGATTTATTACTTTGACCGCGAGTGCTATAGTATTTATAAACATTTTAACACTTGACATTGTATTGGCTAAATGCACTAGCCGTGTGAAGCCATTTAACGGAAAAAAAAACATATGTAAGAATCAGTCTTCATTCAAAATTTTACGTACCCATGACACCTGAGAGGAGCTCGATGGCGCAAGTGGTTAGCGCGTTCCGCTGCGATCGTTGAATTAAAGCAACTTTCGCAGTGGTCGGTCATTAGATGGGTGACCGAAAATTTACTATCTCGAACTCCTCCGTGCTTCGGAAGGCACGTTAAGCCGTTGGTCCCGGATGCATCTGCAGTCGTTAGCATCCACCAACCCGCACTGGGCCCGCGTGGTGGATCATGGCCCAATCTCCCTATTCCATCCATAGGGAAGGCCTGTGCCCCAGCAGTGGGGATATTAATAGGCTGATGATGATGATGATGATGACACCTGATATCTAATAATTGGCATGGTACACACTAATACTACTCGATCCATATTTTGCCATCAGGAAATAAGTAAGGTCTGGCGGCGTCAGGATTTTACTCTATATGCTTCTTCAGCAGTGTTTCCACAATGAGGGGAAATTCCCCTTTTAAGGGGAAATTAGAGTCGAGAGGGGAAGAAAAAGGGGAAAGACATGAAAAGGGGAAATTATGGGTAAAGCCTAGTATAAAATAATGCAGCGCGGAACAAATTTTTTATGGACTATACCGTAGACTAGAGTGTTGCCGTATAAAAGAATCTGTGGCAGCACGTGCAGATTTTATATATTTTAATTATTATACTGTTATAGAATAACATAAGATTAAGACCTTTTGTTTTCTTTAGTTACTAACACTAGTGCCAAATCTAAAAACTCCAGCAAAATAATTTTTGAGGGGAAAAATGTCCTAAGAAGGGGAAATCTGAATTGAGGCGTGGGGAAAGGAAATCATTAAAGTAGAAACACTGTTCTTCAGATATGCCAGAAGCTTAGAGCATTAAACCACGTGGTTAAATGCTCTAAGGCCAGGAGCTTTACTCTCTTACTCCGAAACGAAATTTCGGCAACGATT